CAACTAATTAACAATAATAATAAAGAAGAAATTAAAGAATACATAATAAGAAAGAATTTAACAATCAATTTTTTGATATACACAATATTAAAATACATTATTTTATTTCATTTACATTAGATATTAAATAAAATTTAGTTTTAATTCAACTCTATTGATATTTCCAATTATTTATTATCATTTCTTCTTTATTTCCAATTTATTTTTATCATATGTTATATCTCTATTTATCATTTAATATTTTCTTGTTCATAATATCATCATTTTATTCATTTTTATTTAAATTATTTATTGACTCTTCATTATTTATATGCTATTTTCATTTTACATTATATCATTTTTCTTTAATTTTATTAATGAACGAATTAAAAACATTATCATTAATATATACTGATATTCAATAATTTAATACAAATACTATTTTAATCATTTATTATTCTAATTCAATTTATTGATATTTTTTATCCATTTGTCTTTTGAATTATTCTTTTTACATATCCTTATATCTAATTTTTTTAATTAATATTTTAAAATAATATAACTTAATTTTAAAACAAATACCAAAATATACATAAAAATGAAATATGCTACTGTTCAACGTATTAATAGTTATAAAAGAAAGGATAAAAAGCAAAATTCAATAACGAATGTAATTTGTTCTAAACCATAATTTGATGGTTGTAATAATACTTACAAATTTCTTTAAAATAAATAAAAAGAAAGCAAATTGAATTAAACTTCAGTATAAATTCTAGGGCAAACTGCCATTGACATTAATTCTTGGAATAATAATTTGCAGGCATATGGAATATCAACTTTTGAAATATGAGTTTTATCTTTACAACAAGAACATTGGAATGTACATGCTTTATGGTTTGCTACTGCTGGCATATGACATTTATCACAAACATAAATTTGATACTTATCAGATGCAAGGAATAATCTTTCTTTTAATAGAGAACTAACACCATGTGAAATCATACAATCTCTCTCCATCTCCCCTAAACGTAATCCTCCATCTCTTGATCTTCCTTCTAGTGGTTGTCTTGTGAGAGTAGCATATGGTCCAGTTGCTCTTCCATGAACTTTATCATCTACAAGATGTTTTAATCGTTGATAATATGTTGGTCCAATATAAACAAGACTATCTAATTTTCTACCAGTATGTCCACTAAATAATGCCTCATATCCTCTTCTTTGATACTTTAGTTTATGTAATCTTTCTCCAATTCTATCAACTGTTACATCTTTTTGGAATGGTGTACCACTTTGAACATCTCCTACCAATGCACCTACTTTTCCAAGTAAACATTCTACTAATTGTCCAACTGTCATACGAGATGGAATAGCATGTGGGTTCATAATGATGTCTGGTGAAATTCCTTCAATTGTAAATGGCATATCTTCTTGTCTATAAGTCATACCAACTGTTCCTTTTTGTCCATGTCTTGAAGAGAATTTATCTCCAATTTGTGGAATTCTTATACTTCTCATTTTAACTCGAATATACTTTGTTCCTGATTGAGCGTTAGTGACAACAACTTGATCAACAACACCATTTTCTCTTGGTTTATATCTTAATGAACAATCTTTTAATGTTTTATTTTTATTTTCATAAAATCCAGCAACCAAAATATCATCTGGTTTAACTTTAGTTCCTGGTGCTAAAATACCATCAACATCAACTTTTTCATATTTACTTATATCTTCAGTAATTTCTGAATTATTTTCACTTGGTTTAAAGAACATTAATTCCGTTGTTTCTGACTTTTTAGCATCTTCACTAAATGTTTTAAATGCCATTGACCTGAATAATCCTCTATCAATTGATCCTTGATTCATCATAACACTATCCTCTTGATTATAACCTGAATAACAACAAACAGCAACTATAGCATTAATTCCTGCTGGAATATGTCCAAATTTGACATATTCAGCTGCTCTTGTTGATACTAATGGTTTTTGTGGATAAAAAAGAACATGTCCTAATGAATCTAATCTTAATTGATAATTTGATGCATACACTCCAATTGCTTGTTTACCCATAGCACATTGATATGTATTTCTAGGAGATTGATTATGATCAGGGAATGGAATAATAGATCCTAATACTCCCATAACTAATGCTGGATGAATTTCACAATGAGTATAATTTTTACTTGAACCTCCTTCTGTATTATCTAAGTCTGATGGGAACATAGCAATCATAGACATTTCTTCTTCATCAGCATCAACATATTCAATAATTCCTTTTGATAAGAAATTATTCCAAAACTTTGTTTTTTCTGTTCCATTACTTTCATTATCTAATCTACTACATAACTCTGTAATTTGACTTTGCTTTAAATTTAATGTATAATGTCCATTATTATTACTTACTGTAAATAATGGTCTTGTACATCGACCTGCATCAGTGTAAATACGTAATTCTTTATGAAGTTGATCAAGAACCATAGACATTACCTTTTTTACTTTTCCTTTTGTACTATTCTTTCTATAATTCTTTAATTCTTCTAATAATTTTTGTGGTTGTTCAGAACATTTTAACCATACTCCATTTAAAAAGACTTTAGTAATATTATTCATTTTTTCTCCGGTACAATCATTAATATTACAAACATATTGACAATCTAATGCTTCTTTAATTTCATCAACTTGTTCATCTTGTAAAGCAACAGTAATTTGTGCCATTAATGATAACATTTTAACTAACCCACATGACTCTCCTTCTGGTGTTTCAGCTGGACAAATATATCCCCATTGTGTATTATGTAATTGTCTTGGTTTTTGTGTTTTTCTTTTTCCTTCAACTGGTGATGAAATTTTTCTTAAATACGCTAACGCTGATGTAAATGTTAATCTACTTAATACTTGTGCTACTCCATGTCTTGACTCTTTTCCTCCTGGCTGTGGCCAATTTCCTGTTCCTAATGCTTTTGTAAAATCTGTTGTAATTGTTGGAAATGAAAGTGGTTTAGCATATTCTAATGCTTTATTACTTGATAACTGTTTTTGTAATTGAGCTCTTGCTGTTTTCATCATTCGTTTTAATGAATTCTTAAATAATTCCATCATCAATCCTCCTGTCATTAACATTCTTTTTCTTGCTAAATGATCTCTATCATCTCCATTTCTTTTTCCTGTATAAACTGATAAGAAATGGTTTGTCATATATCCTAAAAATTGTGCTTTTGATTCAAAATTATCTGTTCCAATATGTGGAAGTAAATCTTTCTTTAATTTTTCTGTTCCATCTCTTTGTAATTTTTGTATATTTTCTGATACAATTTCAATTACTCCTTCTTTATTTGTTTTCTTTGAATGTTCTCCAAGCCATCTTCTTGCATCTTCTGTAGTTGTACATTCATTTGCTTGAATAGCAGTAGTAACAATATTATACATTTCATTATCATTTTCATCAAAGCAAATAGCCTCTACTATTTTTTGATCATTTTCATATCCTAATGCAACAAAAAGTAATACAACTGGAACATCACAATCCATACGACTAAGACTTAAAACAGGCACTTTAATTTTAAGTCTTGACTTATCTAATTTTGGATAATCCATTCTAATTTTATGCGTTCTAACTTCATCGTTTGATGCTAAACTATTAATATTTCCTTCATATGGATATTTTAATTGATCACTCCCTTCAAAAACTAAAACTGTATTTGGTGCCATCTTTTCTTGTGCAATAACTACTTTTTCACTTCCTTTAATAATGAAATATCCACCTTGTTCAAATGAACATTCATCTTTACTAATCATAGATGGTTGTGTTACACATCTTTTTAATCTACAAACATCAGACTTTAACATAGATGGAATACTTGCTATATCAATTTTTGGTACAGTTGTAATTTCTTCTGCCCCATTTTTTCTTATTATATCTTTGGCTTTTACTTCAAGTTGACAAGCATACGTTAAACTTCTTAATCTAGCCTCATGAGGGAATAAAGAAGCACTTGCCTTAGAACCAGTAGAAACTTTTGGAAAATGGAAAATTGGATCTGTTAATACAATTGTATGTTCTTCTTCATCATTAGCACTTATTCCTAAAACTTCTGCATTACTTATTTCAATTTTAGTTGTATCACTTGTAATAACATCCCTTACTTTTTTAATGAAATTATTATATGATGATAGCTGTTGTTTTACTAACCCATTTTCTTTAAAATGAGCATCAATTAAATACCAAAATTGTTCAGGTTGAATTTGTTGTGAGGGAAGATTTGCTTGCATTTTAAAAATTTCTTAAAAAGTTCTTGAATTTTTTTGTTTTCTCTTTTTTTTTTCTCTTTTCTAACCCTTTTTTATTTTCTTAGTTTAAAAAAATCTTTTACTTCATATCGATGAGGGTAGATACTTTAGTTATTTTTCCTTTATATTGTATGATTGGATTTGTATTATATTCAGTTCAATCACAACATAACACTTATGTTTGTTTTAGTTTTTTTTACAACGTTGGTGTTATTTAATGTTATTCATTATTAATATTTTTTTTAGGGAGATGACTCTCATATTACGTGTCAACAATCACCTTTTTATTATACTATTACTGGGTTACCTAAACAATGTGGTTGGAATGATTTTGACTATTATTTAATTATAGCACTGATGATTTGTGATGTTATTTCTTCAATTCTTTGTTATTTGGTAAGTAGTTCTTTGAAATATGTTTTAATGATTTTTGGTCAAATAACATTATTTTCTTTTATGTATCTTTATAAACATGCTTATGATGCACATGCATATTGTCAAAGCTTTATTTTATCCACATTGAAGACAGAAAAAAAAAGAATTATATGTAAAGATGATTCGTTTTATATTCTTGTTGGAATGATATTTTTTATTTCTCTATTGCTAATATTCCATTCATTATGTTATATCATTAAAGACCCGAATGGAATTACAATGGGAGAATTGAATTTTGGTACTTCTATACAAGAGCAAAGTACAGATAAATATGCACGAGATGTTCGTGTTGCAGAAAAACCAAAAACAATCAAAGAAAAATGTGATTAATCTTTAACTTTTTTTTTCTTTTTTATTGGTTTAACTTTCATTACTATTTTATGGATATTATTAACGATTACCTAAATTGTTCTGTTTTAGTAGAAATTAATGGACAAGTAAATCCAATGAATAGATTTCTTTTGGTTTTTGATATTTCTCAAAGTCATGTTGTTGAATGTAATGGAATTGTATTACCACCACATCTTTGTATTGGAACTATTTATGACCTTTTTGTTAAAGATGACGGAGTAATTAAATTAGAATTAAAAAATGAAGTTGTAAATATACAAGAAGTTCAAGAGAGTCATTTCAATACTATCTTACTTTTTTTAAAGAATTGTTGTAAAATGAATGATGATTTAATACAGCAGTCAATGGATGAAATGAAACCTCAATTATGGGAACATCATATACTAAAAACACAAGAAGACCATCTTTTTTTTAAAAGACTAATTGAAAAGTCTCAAGACTCAGTATTATTTAACTTAGTTTATCTTGAAAGTAATCAAATTAAATCAAGTCTATTTTTTCTTCCACAAAAATTATTAGTTAGTAAGTTTATGAAGAAAGTACAGAATCAGTTAAAAATTAGTTTTTCTTCTATCACTAATCAAGGAATTAATCTTCCACCATTTATGACAGTTGGCTCATTTAAAAATTATTTTTATGGTTCTGATCTTTGTGTCACTGTTATTTTGAAATGATTTTTTTATTGTTAATTATGGTTTTTTTTTCTTTAAAAATGAACTATAAAATGATTACTGAAGAACTTAAATGGCAAACCCACTTAAAAGATATGATCCTGGACCTCAAATTCTCTACTGTTGTGTTGCGTTTAAAACAAATATTTTAGCAGAGTATTATGAAGTTTCTTTACCAGGAGCAGATAAAATTATTAAACAAATCTTGGCAAAGGCATCCATTGGAAAGAATGTTCTTCATCATGAATTGTTATCATTTTGTCTTTTAACAACAGACATTATTACAGTTATTACTATCACTGGAGAATCATTTCCACAAGAACGTGCATTTGATTTTATTGATGAGGTTGTTATTAATTTCTCAAAATTATTTAATACAGACCAATTAGCTACATTACCAACACGTTCATTAAATAATACTTTTGCTCCTATGATGAAACAAAAAATTGTTTGTTTTTCTTTTTTTAATAATTTATTTATTTAATATAATACTTAATGCTACCAGAATCATTTTAATGATCTTACTAATGATCCATTAAATAAAATTCAACAAACATTAGACCAAACAGTTTCACAAGTAAATGAGAATGTAGATAAATTATTAAGTAGAGGAAGAGTATTAGATAATCTTGATGGAGAAAGTGATTTAATTATGAGAGATACAGAAGAATTATATAAACAATCAATAGAATTAAAGAGAAAATTTAAAAATAAGAACATAAGATTATATATTACTGTTGGAATGATAGTTTGTTTAATCATTTTTATTGGTATTTGGTCTTATTGTGGTATACGTTTTCAAAGGTGTCATAAATAATTCATTACTTATGTCTTTTTTTAATTCTAACCAAAACACTTTTAAAGAAAAAAATAAATCACTTTACTTTCCTTAAGTTACATCAAACCTGGAGCATATAATTCAGTTGGATGAGTTACCATATAGAATATAGTGTAAATTTGACCAGGAAGGAAGAAGAGAAGAGTTAAAATTAATGAAATCCAAAATCTCTTTTCACATTTTTCCATTAAATACATAGAAACTGGAGGAAGAATAAAAGCAAAAATTACTGTTAAGACACAATTACAAGTAATTTTAACCATGAGAAATAATAATTAATTAGAATAATGAGATGAAAGGGGTATTTATTTAAACCAGTCAGTAAAAGAACAACTTTTTGTTGATGACGAAATTTCTAGAATATAGTTTTTAAATAATTTTTTTAACTATCAATTTTTCTTTGGAAACTTTTAAAACCAAAAAAAAAGAAGAAGAAAGTTTATGAGACAAATTAATAAAAATAGTAAATATCTAAAAATAAATCAAATAAACTCATAAAGAATTTGAATTAAACTGGTGTATATCCTCCAGTTGTATCTTTTGTCTTTTGTTGAAGAATAATAATCATAACAGCACTGACAAAAAGAACTACAATAAAGAAACACCCAACTGCAAAATTTTGAAGTGAAGCATTACGAAGTGGTTGTGTTTTGATTTTACATGTCATATTTGGATTTAAACTACCAACATCAGAAGCACATAATGGTTTTTGTCTATAAACATCCCATCCACAACATCCAAACTTTTCTTCCCAAAGGGCAAGTGAACTACTCATTGATGCATTTGTTGCATTCCTCATATGGAAATATGTATATCCAAAATACCCAACTGTTGCTAATGCTGAAATAACGGCTAATGCAAGTCCAATATAAGAAACTATTCCCATTGTTGGCTTTGGTATTAATGAATATACACACAATATTATACCTAATAATCCCATTAATGCTGCAACAGTACATGTTTCAACAACAAAAGTATTTCTTGAATAATAGTTTAGTGATGATTTAGCAAGTGTATTATTTTGTTCCATTTTTCGTATTGGACCTACAAATACTACACCAATCCATAAACCAGCAGCTATAAGAGTAAAAATACCCCATCCAAGTACAATGAATTGAATTACCTTCATATTCCTTTTTATTTAGTTCTCAGTTTATTTAGTTCTTTTTAATTTTTTTTCTTTAAAAAAGAAATTAAAAAAACTTAAAA